GCTTTGTTTAGAACACATGCCTCAATGAGGAAAAAAAGAATGAAGATTATTACATGAGGTCTTTGCTCCCTTTTTCATCTTCAAAAGATCTATTACCATTTCTGAATTGAAACTGATTTACTTTGAGGCATTTGATAGGAAGTTATCCTGAAGATTGAAGATTTATGTGAAATGAGCCACATCCTGAAAATATTGATTAATCATGTTTATTACATAAAATTAACATTCTTTTAGAGAAAGGTTAGATAATATAACTATTTATAAAAGAAAATATTTTTTCTCTCGAGTTTATTGGTACATTTTAGATATACATTACAGTTACGTTCATCATTGGGATCCTGTACCTTTACATGACAGGTCTTGGTTCTCATTTTTTCCCCTTGTCCCTGCCCTCCCTTAACCCCCTCCTCCCCTCCCCATATACAAACACTTTATTTACATTTTTTCATTTTCTCATTTTGTTATTTTCCCTTATTACATTTCCCCTACCTTTCCCACTTTCCCTACACCTTTACCCTCTTTCTTCCTATTTCACATTGTCACTTATATCACTCGGATCTTATGTACTATTGTAGTTTATTCACACCAGAGAAACTATTCAGTATTTAAACATCTGTGGCTTATTCATTTCACTTAAGAGTATATCTTCAGTATATATCCATTTTCATATGAATGAATCTAATTTCTTATTCTTCATGGTTGAGTAGTATTCCATTCTATAGAAAAAAAAACTACTTCTTTATCCAGCCTCCAACTGATGAGCAAATGGGCTGTTTCCACGTTAGAGCTATTACAAACTACCGCTATAAATATAGGTGTGCATATATCACTGTGGTGTGATTCTTTTAATTCTTTTGGAAAGATACCCAGCAGAGGGATGGCTGGGTCAAATGGAACCTCCAGTCCTAGCTCTTTGAGGTATCTTCCATATTGATTTCCATAGTGGTTGCACCAGTCTGCACTTCACCAACAATGGAGAAGGGTTCCTTTCTCCCCACAACCCCACCAACATTTGTTATTGGTTGATTTCTGGATAGCAGCCATTCTTTGTGGGGTGAGGTGGAATCTCAGTGTTGTTTTCATCTGCATCGCTTGAGTGACCAGTGACATGGAACATTTTTTCATATATTTATTTGCTACTTTTACTTCTTTGTCTGAGAAATATGTGTTCATTTCAGATGCCCACTTTTGAATCGGGTCTTTATATTTGGGAGGCTGATTGTTTTGAGTTCCTTGTATATTCTAGATGAGAGTCCATTGTCTGAGGAGCAGCTGATAAAATTTTTTTCCACATTGTAGGCCATATTTTAGCTCTGTTGATGGTTTCTTTTGCAGTACAGAAACTTTTTAATAAGATTAGATCCCAGTTGTTGATTCTTTGTGCTAGTTCCCATGCTACTGAGGATTTGTTCATAATGTCTTTTCCCATGCCAATGTCTTCAAAAGTTCTGCCTAACTTAACTTCCAGCAAGTTTAGTGTTTCTGTTTTAATATTTAGATCTTTAATCCACTCAGATTTTAGTTTAGTGCATGGTGAAAGATAAGGGTCTAGTTTTATTCTTTGGCAGGTTGAAGTCCAGTTTTTCCAACACCATTTATTAAAGAGACTATCTTGCCTCCAGTGAGGATGGTTGGCTCCTTTGTCAAAGATGAGTAGCTGAGTACATCTGGAGTTGTTTTTGTGTCTTCCAATCTGTTCCACTGATCCTTGGGTCTGTTTCTTTGCCAGTACCATGCTGTTTTTTTCACAGTGGCTTTGTAGTATATTTTCAAATTGGGAATTGTTATACCTGCTGCCATGAGTTTGTTAACTAGGATGGCTTTTGCTATTCTAGGTCTCTTCTGGTTCCAAATGAATTTTTGGATTATTTTTTCTAGTTCTGTGAAGTAAAATGTTGGAATTTTAATCAGAACTGCATTGAATCTGTATAGCAGCTTTGGTAGTATGGCCATTTCCACTATGTTGATTCTTTTTACCCAAGAGCAGGGAATATCTTTTCATTTTCTTATATCCTCTTCAATCTCTTTTTTCACATTGCTGAAGTTTTCAGTGTAGAGGCCTTTCCCTTCCTTCATTAGAGTGATTCTTAGATACTTCAGTTTTTTGGATGCTATTGTGAAAGGTATTGTTTCCCTAATTTCTCTCTCAGTGAATCTGTTATTTGTTGTATACAAGAAAGCTGTTGATTTTTGAGTGTTGACCTTGTATCTAGCTACTCTGCTGAAAGTGTCAATTAAGTCTATAAGTCTTTTGGTGGAGTTTATTGGATCTTCAATGTAGAGTATCATATCATCAGCAAATAATCACAGTTTAACTTCTTCCTTTCCTATCTTTATTGCTTTAATTTCTTTCTCTTCTCTAATTGCTGTGGCTAATCTTTACAGAACTATATCAAAGAGGAGTGGTGATAGTGGGTATCCTTGTCCTGTTCCTGATTTTAATGTGAAGGTTTTCAGCTTTTGGCCATTTAATATGATGTTGGCTGGTGGTTTTTCATAGATAGCCTTTATTAAGTTGAGATATAGACCATCTATTCCAATTTTTTGTAGGGCTTTTATCATGAATGGGTGTTGAATTTTGTCAAATGCTTTTTCTGCATCTATTGAGAGGATCATATGTTTTTTGTCCTTGACTCTGTTAATATAGTGTATTACATTTATTGATTTACATATGTTGAACCATCCTTGCATCCCTGGAATAAATCTGACTTGGTCAGGATGTATGATCCCCTTGATGATCCTCTGTATTCTGTTTTCTAGTATCATATTAAGGATTTTTGCATCTATATTCATTAAGGAGATTGGCCTGTATTTCTCTTTGTTAGTTGGGTCTATTCCTGCTTTGGGAGTCAAAGTGATACTTGTTTCCAGGAATGTATTTTGGAAGTATTGCTTCCCTTTCAATTTCATTGTAAAGTTGAGAATAGTGGCAGTAGTTCTTCTCTAAATATCTTGAAAATTCAGTAGTGAATCCATCAGGATCTGGGCTTTTCTTTGTTGGTAAACTTTTAATTACATTTTCAATTTCACTTATTGTAATTGGGTTGTTTAAAATATTTTTATCTTCGTTCAACTTTGGTAATTCATAAGTATCTAGAAATCTGTACATTTCTTCTGTGTTTTCCATTTTATTAGCATACAGGTTCTCAAAGTAGGTATTGATGATCCTCTGGATTTCTGGTGGATCTGTTGTGGCTTCACCATTTTCATTCCTAATTGCATGGATCTGAGTCTTCCCCCCCCCCTTTTTTGATAAGGTTAGCCAGGGGTTTATCAGTTTTATTTATTCTTTCAAAAAACTAACTATTTGATTCATTTATTTTTTGTATCATTTTCTTAGTTTCCATTGCATTGATTTCTGCTCTAATCTTTATAATTTCCTTTCTTGTATGAGATTTGAGTTTTTCTTGCTCTTCCTTTTCTACGAGTCTAAGGTTCATCATTAGGTTGTTTATTTGAGCCCTCTCTGTTTTCCTAGTGTGGGCATTCAATGCTATGAAATTTCCACATAGAACTGCTTTCATTGTGTCCCATAGATTCCTGTGTGTTATTTTGGCATTATCATTTATTTGTAAAAACTGTCTAATTTCTTCTTTAATTTTTTCTGTGATCCACTGATTGTTCAGGAGAGTATTGTTCAGTTTCCATGTGTTTGTGAAGTTCCTATGATTTCTTATGCTATTGATCTCCAGCTTGATTGCACTATGATCTGATAACGTACAGGGGATAATTTCGATTCCTTTCCATTTATTTAAACCTGTTCTATGAGCTAGTCTATCTTGGAGAATGACCCATGTGCAGCCAAAAAGAATGTATATTCTGGTTTTGTGGGGTGGAACACTATAGACATCTATTAATTCCATATGTTCAAAAGCTTGGTTCAGTTCTAGAATTTCGTGGTTGATTTTTAGCCTAGAGGATATGTCTATTTGTGATAGTGGGGTGTTCAGATCCCTCACTACAATTGTATTAGTGCTTATTTGGTTTTTCATGTTACTTAATATTTATTTTATGATTTGGGGCATTAATATTTGGTGCATATAGGTTTATGAGTCTCATTTCTACCTCTTGAATTTTTCCCTCTATAAGGATGTAGGGGCCTTCTTTGTCTCTCTTCATCAGTTTGGGTTTGAAATTCACTTTTTCTACAATAATATAGCTACCACTACTTTCTGTGCTCCTGTCGCATGGAGAACTCTTTTCCATCCTGTCACTTTCAGTCTGTGGGCTTCTTTTTGCACTAGGTATGTCTCTTGCATACAGCATATTATTGGATTTTTCTTCTTAATCAATTCTTCCAGTCTATTTCTTTTGACTGGTGAATTGAGGCCATTGAAATTGATGGTTATGACTGATATATCGTGACTTATTATTGTCATGTTATTGTCCTCTTGTTGACTCTTTATTACTCTTTCCCCCTCTCCTTTCATTTTCTGGCCTTTCCTGTTTGATATGCTCTTTTGGGGCCCCATAGTGTAGTGACCTTTATTGTCTTTTCTAGGATATTGCTTAGAATTCCTAGTAGTGCTGGTTTGGTATAAATGAAGTTTCTCAGGTGTTCTTTGTCATGGAAGTGTCTTATTTCCCCATCCATTTTGAAAGAGGGTTTTGCAGGATACATCAGTCTAGGTAGGAGTTTGTTTTCTTTTAGAACTTGAAATACCTCACTCCAGGTTCTCCTTGACCTCAGGTTTTTGTGTTGAAAAGTCTGCTGTGATTCTGATGGGATTTCCTTTGCATGTGATTTGTTTCTTTTCTCTTTCTGCTTGTAGTATTTTGTTCTTCTGTTGGATTTCTGGGATCTTGATTATTATATGTCTAGGTGTAGATTTTTTTTTATTGTGGCTATTTGGAGTCCTATGTGCCTCACTTATTTGTATGTCAGATTCTTCCCCTCTATTTGGGAAGTTTTCTGTCATTAAAAGATATAGAAGACTTGGTGGCCTGCCTTGCAAGGGCAAAGACCTGAGTTCAATCCCTGGTACCAAAAAAAAAAAAAAAAGGATGTAGAAGACTTCACGAATTTGCATGCCTTCCTTTGCAGGGACCATGCTAATCTTTTCTGTATTATTCCAATTTTAGTATATGTGCTGCCAAAGCGGGCATTATAAAAGAAAATATTTATTCTGGCATTTAGGAAATATTTATAGCAAGGATACAGTTCATATTTATAAAGTTTGAAATAAGAGGTAAGAAACATTGAACATTGGATATTTTTATTACCCTATTAAATATCTGCACATTGTATATATTTGTATAATATTTTATATGCTATTTTAAAAATCACTGAAAATCAGCTTTTATCATGATGTAAAGCACATAATCATTGATATACATTAATTAATTTCTTATTTATTTGGAATATTACTGTGGATATTCTAGCTATTTATAAACAGCATACTAGATTTACAAATAAACTAAAAACAAAATTATGACAGACAGTTTAGAACAAATCTTTATGGATTTTTTTTAGCTAAAGAGTAATTTTAAAAAAACCTCTGACCACAGGAAACATGTGCTGTATTTCCACTGTGTACTGCTGAGCAAATCAGATTTAATTATGCCAGAAATCTCTTTGCTTCTGCATATCTATTACTTTTGATTTTCCTCCTCATCCTTACACACAAGCTAGGAGTGGATCGTTCTCATTCTCCCTTCTTCCTAAGGAGAAAGAGTTCAGATAATTCTGTGAGGATGCCTTTCATGCAAGAGAAATTCTTGCTTTCCTTTCACACTCGATGGAGTGTGAGAATCTGGAATAAATGAGACTTGCTGACTGAACTACTGCAACAAACAACATTAGCAGAACTTCTCTTGGTTCTATCAAGGCTGTTAACAATAATGCAGTATTCCTTGGAGCAGGGAAGATGGGCATAATGGACGAGAGAGGAGAAATGCAAGTGATTGCTGGGAATAAGGCTGGCACAGACTGCACAAGTGACAGCACTTTCCACTGCCAAGCGTCTGCAGGAGTGGCCATCATAAACTGTACATAAGCCTGGGTACTTCAGGTGGCAGAATGAGCCGGCTTGTTTCAGCAGACATGAATAAAAATGGCAGGGCCACATCTGGATAATGTCCTTCTCTCTATGATGTCTGAATAAAGCTTTTCTCACTTAGTTGTGGCAGTCAGTTACTATTTGTTACATAGCACATTAAATTTATTACATGAAAGAGACAATAGAGCATTTAACTGTGTGCTGCTATGTCCATGTACAAATTCAGTTTCCCTCTAAACACACACATAGATATACATAAATATGCACAAAAATTATATTTCTTTAATTCTGACCAAAACCTAGCCTTATTAACACATTTTCTAAAAATTTCTAGATCCTAAAAGCATGTCTCTAAGAAGCTTAGGGAATTGCATGTTAGGTATCAGTATAGTGTGTAGCTACCCTTGAAAATAGTAGGCAGAAAGATATAAAAAAATGACCAATTTTCTTATTAAGATGGAGATGAGAAGGGGACAGGCTAAGGTACTTCATCCAGCAAGGTAAAGAGTAGAAATCACTGTGCTAGTCATACTGCACCACGATATTTTCCAAAGGGACTGAACCCTTTTCATGAATGACAAGTTATTTGTAAATATTTTTCTCCTTGAATTTTTATAATCATGCTGCCAAGAGAATAGATATAATTAAGGTTGAAATGAGATTTGTATTAGAAAACTGATGGCTGAGATTTAACGTTTATTCCAGTTATATGGCATGTGAATCAATTCTGTCCCAAATCTATTAGGATTGCATCAAATGTTTTTATATAAAAAATTTACTCATGGCATATGAAATTACTTTGATTATTATTTCTATGCTGTTTTTCTTAATTAAAAATTTTCTCATAATATTTTTATGGAACAAATATAGAATGTAAATATGTATATTTTTGTGGTACTGGTGGTTGAAGTAGAGATGCTTTGCCACTGAGCTACATTACAGCCCTTTTTGTTTCTATTTATGTATTTATTTTAAAATTTTGAGAAAGGTCTTGTTAAGTTGCCCACGTGGGCCTTGAACTGGCAATCCCCCTGCTTCTGTTGCCAAAGTACAGGGATTATAGGAAAAATACTTTTTTATTTAGGAAAAAAAGTATATGTCAACACATAATTCAGAGTTTAGTTAGAAAACTATATAGCTAGATACAAAGATGTTGATGTTCCTATCTTGCCCATTACCTTTAGTCCAATAATATGTGGAAGCTTTTAAAAACAGTTTTATATTTAGCAGTTTCCTTGTACATCTTTTCATGTTCCTATGTACTTCTTTCCCTACTTTTTTTTTTTTTTTTTTTTTTTTTTTTGGCTAACCTTCATTCCAATCAGCTTAATTTTGAAAACTACAGTAAGGCAGGCAGCTGGTCTTTGTAGATTTAACACTTGGAGTATTTTGAATACAGTTTTATAGCTGCTTGGAACTGAAATATAAATAAAAAAAGTGAGAGAGAAAAATACCCAACAACTAAACCACTTATGCAGTGCCAGCTTTGTAAAGATTTTTTTTTTTTAGAGTGAAGATGTTATTTTTCTCTTGGTTTATGGTATATTCATGTAATACAATTTATTTGTGGAACAGATTATATCTATAAAGCAAAATTTCAAGAATAGACACAGATTAGGATATGATCAGTAGAGAATCTGCTATGCATTATATTTCAGTAAGACTCTTAGGAATGCTTTAAACATTATCATTATATTTAAAAAGTAATGCAGTTGAGTTAGGATCCATTAGACAAAAAGGTGAAGCACTGAAACTGGGAATTGTCTAGAGAAGTATGATGTTATCAATATATAGAAGATTAGAAATCAACCACATGCTGGTCCTTTAGGGCTTCCACCTTGCTTCCAAACTGTTGCCAAGAAGTTGCCACTGTTTCAGCTAAATGTGATCCTAATGTTGCATTCTGGAATTTAGAAATGATTCTCCCATAGAAACAGTGTAAAAATCTATGGCTGAGCTTCACTCAGCACAAGCAATACTTTATTTCAAGAGTACATGAGTGAAAGTAAAATTATAACTCAAATATATATAATATACTAGGCAAGGTATTCACTTTATTTGCACTATCTCAAACTTTCACGGTAATGTTCTAAGGTAAGTAAAAGAAATATCCCGATTGCCTAGCTGAGGAAACCAATAGAACAAAAAGTATTGGGGCTCCCTTAAACTATGAGTGGGATTATCAAATCATGAAATCAATATGTAAAACAGTCTAGTAATTCATGCAAAGTCTTACCATACAATTGCTATATAACACAACAATTCTACTCTGAGGTATATACTGTTCCAAAAGAAATGAAAACATATGTTCACAGGAAAACATATTTTAATGCTCAGGATAACATTCATAATAATCCCAACATTAAAGTAATCCAAATATACCACTGATAAATGGAAAAATAAAATGTGGATTATTCATACATGGAGATAGTGTTCAGCAGTATAAAATAATAAAGTACTGACACATTCTATAATGTGGATGAATCTTGAAAACATTATGCTAAATAAAAAAGCTACCCACAAAAGATGACATAATTCCATTTATATAAAATTTTCATAATGAATAAATTATAGGTACAGAAATAACATTTTTGCTATCAACAAAATGAGACAAATGAGAAAAATACTACTTGCAATAATATAAAAATGTTAGATAATTAGGGATAGATTCAATTAAGTATATTGCTGAAAGAAATTTGAGATATAAAAAAGAAAGATTTAACATGTATATTGACTGGAAGGTTAAATCTTATTGCGATGTCAGTTTTCTCTTAATAATAATGATAGGGTCAGTGCATTCCTAAACATCATAGCACTATACCATTTTTTGGTAGAAATAGTCAAACATTCTGAATTTTTATGAACTCAAAATATACTTAGTCAAATCACTTTTGAAGAACTAAGGTGTAACATTACTGATTAAGGATATTACAAAAAGCTATGATAATACAGTATGACACTGGTCTTTGTGTTAGCATGTAGATCAAGGAAATAGAATAGAGAGTCCATAAGTAAATCTATGCACATCCATTAATTGATTATCAAATTATTGCTGAGATAATTACATCAGGAAAATATTGTTTTCAATAAATAACGATAGAATGAATAGATAAATGGTGAATTATTTAGATTGAAGTTATTCTCATACTATACCAAAAATAAATACTAAAGAGCATACCTAAAACTATCTGATCTGAAACTATATAGCCACAAAATCGGAAAGTATATAATTCCTAGAAGAAAAAAGAAGAAAATAATCAAAAACTTAGGCAAGTTAAAAAAAGATTGAACACAAATAACAGTAAGTATAAAAGAAAAATTATAAGATAAAATACTTCTGATCTTAAAAGTTCACTGATAAAAATCAGTCTGGGAGAAACTAAATATTCATAATACAATGGTATCTCAGATCATGACTTTGATTGGTTCCTCCATTCTGGGGAAGATGGCTGCTATCTTGTTTGTGCCAGAAAGATGGCCATGGTCAAAGATAGCCACAGTTGTGTTCCTCGCAGGGAGGTGGGGTTCTGGAAAGGAAGAAAAACTTTGCCAAAGGGTTTGGTTCGTGAAATCACATTGTTCACACAGAAGCTTTCATGAAAGAGGTATGGCGTTACTCTATATAGTGGATTAAAAAAATATATCTAGAATATTTACTACAAATCCTTGTAATTCAATACTAAAAGAAATCAATCCAGTTTTTAAAGAAAGTAGCAAATGATTTGAACAGTGTCATAACAGAGACATATTAATGGTCAGAAAGCACAAAAATAGGTTTAGTATTGCTAGTGATCAGGGAAATATAAAATAAAATTCAGCTATCTACTATACATCCACTAGACTAGCTGAAATTTAAAATGATTATAATACCAAGTACTGGTAATGAAATGGGAAAACTGGAGATCTTGTTCATTTCAATCAGGAGTTCAAATATTATTTTCCTTTTGGAAAACTGAAAGTTTGTTTAAATGTTAAATATATATTAATCATATTTATCATTTCTTATCATATGCATAAGAAATTCTGTTATTAGATACCTGCTCAAGAGATGCAAAAACGTATGCCCACAAGAAAATAGTACTTATTTTCTCTGTGTACATAAA